CAGTAAAATTCACATGGGCAATATCTGGATGTTTTATGACATTTTCTGTATCACTATTAGACATGATGAAACTCATGCCTAAACAAGTGACTATTTCACCTATTGGCAATTCGGTCTATGTAATACGTACTCTTGCCACGACTGAGCAAGTTTACGAGACAATTAAACGTTCAAAGAAAGCTTTTCTATCTTGGAAAAAAGTTTCTGTAAAGGAACGTGTAAATATTGTTTCCAAGTTTGTTGATGCTTTTGTTGCCAAAAAAGATGATATCGCTAAAGAGATAACCATGCAAATGGGAAGGTTAGCTACACTTAAATGAAAAAAGCCTTTAATTGATTGTCAAGTTCTTAAAAAGTAATAAATCTTTGTAGACCTATTCGATATACCGGCAGTGAAGTCAATAGTACTGCCGAGAGAGCACGATATATGATATCTATTGCTGAAGAGAATCTCAAAGATGTTGAAATTATAGATGATAACCCTAGTTTCCATCGGTTTATTCGCAAAGAACCTCTGGGTACAACTTTTATTAAGTTCCTCTAATACCTCAGCATTTAATTATTTAATTTATAACTTTAGTCTATTATTTTTAACAGGTCCAATTCTGATTATTGCGGGTTTGTAAAGATAAAATAACATATTTTTTTATTTTATATATAAACATCTAACAATTTATGGTAAATTCTAGCATGGAATTATCCATATCTAGTATCTGTAAATAGCGTTATTACAGCAATTCTCGCAGGTAGTTATTGAATAAAGTTGTATTGTAAATTTGATCAATATGAAAAAAAAAATTTTAAATTTCAATCAGGTAATACCGTTATCCTGAAGCAATCCCCGCATACTCCTTTATGTGCAGAAAGATTTGAGGAAGCTTTTAAAGAAGCCGGTCTTCCTGAAAACGTAATTCAGGTGTGATGTTCTTTTAAATCGATATAAATCTTATTAAATCTTCTATCCAATGGTTTCATTATATGCTCTGGTTTGCGATTAGATTTTACATATGTCTAATAGTGATACAGAAAATGTCATAAAACATCCAGATATTGCCCATGTGAATTTTACTGGATCAGTCAAAACTGGGATGGAGGTTCTGAAGTCTGCAAGCTCTAAATTCATGGGTACTATAAACAATTTTGCGTAATAGTAGCAAACAATTAAATAAATTTCGGTAGTTAATAATGTTGACAGATTCATTATGATGTTGATTAGGTATTGGCCTTGAATTAGGGGGCAAAGACCCAGCTTATGTTCGCCATGATGCTGATTTAGAATATACTGTAGAACAGCTAGTTGATGGCTCCTTTTTCAACAGTGGTCAAAGTTGTTGTGCCATTGAACGAATTTATGTTCATGAACAAGTTTATGATCAATTTGTTGAAAAATTCGTTGAATTGACAAAGGTTAATATAGTTCCCAAAATTATTTATTTAAAGACTAAATACTTACTGTAAAATTATTTGTAATCTATAGCAATATAAGCTAGGTAATCCATTGGATCCTGAGACTACACTCGGACCCATGATTCGCACTAGTTCAGCTGATTTTGTTCGTCAACAAATTGAAGAAGCCAGTATGTGTTGTTAAGTAAATATAATTGTTAAATATATTTTACTAATTAAGTGATGTTCATAGTTAATCAAGGGGCAAAACCTTTGATTAATACTGAGTTATTTCCAGAGGACAAAGTATATGACAGGCTTTTATGATACTAGTTTTTAAATCTATAGAATATAAATATGTCATTGTACTTTCATTTTTTTTTCCTGATAGAAAAACACGCCTTATATGGCACCTCAAGTTCTTGTTAATGTTGATCACTCAATGAAAGTTATGAAAGAAGAAAGCTTTGGTCCTGTTATTGGCATAATGAAAGTAAGATAATAGTAAATTTGTTTTATTAGATGTGAAAGGCACATGTCACATACATTTTCAAACATAGGTGTCTTCAGATAAAGAAGCTATTACATTAATGAATGATTCAGAATTTGGCCTTACTGCAAGTATTTGGACAAAAGATGAAAATTCAGCATTAGAAATCGGAAATGAGATTGATACTGGAACTTGGTTTATGAATCGTTGTGACTGTAAGATGCTTTTATTTTATATAGAACTGCAAGCACTTGTTTATGAATATTCTGTTTATTAATACAATAAGTGTTTGCAATTTATTTAGTTTAGATATTGAGTATTTAATATTTGTTTATTTCTTAGATCTTGATCCAGCATTGGCTTGGGTTGGTACAAAAAATTCTGGTAGAGGTTGTACTTTGGTAAGTCTAATATGTTCTTTAGTATATTCTAAATTCAGATACTTAGTGATATATATATTATTTTTTGATTATAGTCTAAGTTTGGTTTTGATTATTTTACAAGGTATGAATAATTTATATAATTTTATTTAAGTATTTTGATTATGTTTTCAAAACCATTTACAGAAGTGAATGATTTTTATTTTTAGACCTAAATCGTTTCACTTAAAATTGATATCTAAATGATTATTTTGAGATTGAGTGAATATGATAAAATAGTAAAGAGGTGTTTGTTATATTTATTAATTTTATTAGGCGTATTGTATTTGTGTATACCAGATAGTGTTTAAAATTCGATGTTCTTAGTGTTCTCTGAGAATATAATTTTTAAAAATATGTTCTCTATTTGAGAACATTTGATAAATTTTTTTGATATTAAAAATTTTTTAACTTTTCTATGTAAAGAACATTAATAATTTTTTTAGAACATTAAAAGCTTTCAACATGTTTTTTTGAGAACATAAAATCAAATATGAATTTTAACACTATACCAGGGACTGAAAATTATAGATCTATAATTTTATAATTTAGAGTGCTTCTATAAAAAAACCAAAATTTAAAAAAATTCTTACCTGCCAAAATTTTTACGTTATTTAAAAAAAATCAGCGTCCCTGTTATCTGTTATTGTTTTTAAGGTATTATTGTAATTATAGTAATAAAAAAAAACCCCCCGAAGACAGTTTAGGATTGTTATTGAAAGTTTTATGATTTTTAATATTAAGAATAAATTGACTCTTCTAGCGGGACATTTGACAGAATTCCATTTACCAGGCAATTACATGTTGACCCGATTTAGCATTAGGTTAGGGTTGGGTTAGAGTTAGTGATTGGCAAATCGCAGTTTTTCAAAATATCCCGCGCGTGATGCGCGGGATAGAGATTATCTTATGGGTTTCTCAAAAATATGTAATGCGGGCCGACTGGCCCGAATTGGGGATCATATTAAAAATCACGCGCGGGATCCAAAAAACAACGCGCATTTTGCGCGCGTGATCCCGCGCATGCCCATCACTGTTAGGGATGGTTGAAAATAAGTCTTGTCGAAAAAATGTGTAGTAGGTGAAATAGCATGTTGCAATATGCCGCAACTAGGTGAAATAGCATATGTGTAACCTATGTCCGTAACGGTTACGGTATTTTAATATAAGTTACCTTCTTTATACGCGGCAAGACATAGGTGACGAACTTTACTTTATAATTATTCTCGTTATACGCGTTTTTTTCGCTTTTTTCTGTAGGCTTTTACCTAAAGTGGTTAACTATTAAGATAAGGGTTTCGTTCTGTGTTCAGTTGCTACTCCTATTTTAACTTTTTCGTTTGAAAAGTTCCCCTGATGGGGTATTTTCAATAGGTAAATAGTTAATAAATAAATATCGTCTGGTCTTGCTTGTCTGTTGCATGGAAAGTGAGACTCAGTTAATAAGTGTGGCGGCTTATGCTGAGATTGGCTTATGCTGAGGATTTGATTTATTTTATTATGAAATTTTAAATTTTTTTTAAGTTTTTTGTGTACTGTTTTTTTTTAATGTTTAGTTAGACTTTAGGGTTAGGGTTATTAATAAAAGAGATATGTGGATTTTAGCAAGTATTATAGATTTTAATAGGGATCTAAGATCTCAGCATAAGCCAATCTCAGCATAAGCCGCCACAATAAGTGTAAGTGTGCGTTTGTTTTATATATATATATATATATATATATAATCAACTCTCTATATAACGAACTGATGAGTCTTAAGTAAAAAATTTTAAAAGTTCGTTATATAGTAATTTACTATATTTTATATACTGAACTTGTAATAAATTTGAAAAAAAAGTGCGTTATATAGAATGTTCGTTATAAAAAGGTTCGTTATATCCAGAGTTGACTGTATATATATATATTTTTTTTTTTTATTTTTTATTTTTTTTGTAGAGAAATCTCAGGGTTATTTCATTTTTGTAATTTTTTTTTTTTTTTTACAAGTTAGTTTGTAAAAATAAAAACATTTATGCATCTCTGAACAAGGTTTACTTTGGTCAAATAAAAAAAAAAAGACCAGTATGTCTTAACCACCGCAGAAAATCATCGTCCCTGACTTCGATTTACATCTTTGTAAATTTAAATATTATATTAATTTCTAGCGATTAATTTTTATACTAATAAATTTTTTAGTCGAGCATGTGCAAATGAACTTAGGTTAGATAAGGGAACTGTAAATCGGCACTGTGATATTCTCGGTACATTCGCAAGTTTCAAATTTGCTGTATTTTGAGTTCCCAATGTTCCTTTAAGTTTCACCAGCACCAATACTCTAAATACGTACATATAATTCTGAATAGAGATGTAGCAACAACTGTTACAGCTTATGCCGAAACTAGTTAAAGCATAAGTCGCAACTAGTTAAAGCATAAGTCGTAACTAGTTAACTACGTACAGTAAGCCATAAACTGCATCTCTAGTTTTGAGTGAAGGTTAGAATCAATATCATTTAAAATCTGATCTAAAACGCTGGTGAATAGAATATTCAATTTAACCAGTTTAATACTAACTTATTACAGTACTAGACATCAGGATGAGAAAAAATGAATGATTAAATAAAGAGAAGTTTTCTTTATATGCAAATCATTCTTTTAATTTGAACTATTTAGTCTATTGTATAAGCATATACAACGATCAACCATCAGAGTTAAACCGACCCATAAATTAAATTATTGAAATTTAACATTATACATAGCTCTCTCAACAGCTTTGACACTACTCTGAAATTTCCTGATCGGTTGACCTCTCAAAATCATTTGAACTACGTTTTTGCAACTCGTACATATCTGATATTGAGGAACGCCTAGTCGATTCTCAAATTTTAGACTAAGTCTGTGAGTTGGTTTAGAGCTATTGTATGCTTTTTGATTAAACCAAACTGAGGATTGAAACTAAACCATCCATCATTTGTCGTTACATCTATGTATAAAAATATCATTTATAACCGAATTTAATATATCAAGTTGTAAAAAAATATATCAAAATAGGCTTCAACCTCTCAATATGTCAACAATATGATGCTTCTTATTAATGTTCTTTAACATTAAGACTTTTAAATAAAGTCCCTTTCTACGTATACTGTAAATGCATGGTTACATCAGTTTAACCTAGTTTTAAGTTAAACTATATGTATTACATGATTGTGTATAACTCAAAAATTGATTTAGCATACTAGTTTAAAGTAATTATATAAAAACTAGGTCAAGAGAGTCGATTTCAAATTTAGATTAAATAGGTTCACAAACAAGGTTACATTGAAAAGGAAATTTTACCCCGTTTTTTAAGCATTATTGTTCTTTTTTAAACAATATAAGGTTTTGTAATATCGTGACAAAGTTTAAGTTATTCATTGTAAGAACCTTTTACGTTATCTGCATGAAATTTTTTTATGCTTATTTATCATTAAATTTGGAGTAGTTTGATTATCGCCAGTTTCACAAATACAGTATCTCGATTTTGTAATACATATCTTATAATGCACATACTGTGCTGTATAACTAATTATATTGTTCCGAGAAAGTGATTGGATTTCGTGTAACTTTTATATGATTCTGCTCAGTGAATGATTATATAAAATTTTGAAGTATCTGGTCACTACATCACGAGAAACATTAATTAGTCAAAGTGCTTTTTATATGTTATAAAAACATGTAATTTTACCTAAAATATGTTATTCATATTTAACTAAAAAATGTTTAAATATAAAACAATAAATAATTCACATTTTAATGATAATGTTGTATATACTCTCGTAAATGAAATATACATAATTTACAAGAATCGAAAAAAAAAGACCTAAAAATATTTATATAAAATGCTAAATGACAACATATCTTATTTATAACTATAAAAAGTCCTAGTTGATTAAGTAAATAATTCCATAGGAGTAACGGCATCAAATACAACAGAACCAGATAATGTCACATCTCTTAAGAAATTCAATGGGAAGAAAACTAAATGACCTTTAATCAAACTTAATTGTGCTTTGGTATTTTCGATATTACATTTGGATTCTTCTGTTATGTGCCCAGCCGGAACCTTTTTACGATCCGGAACGAATTTTTTAAATTCCTCCCAATTTGTAACTAATAATAAAATTAATTATGTAATTAATATCATGTAATTCAGAACAAATATTTATGAAATTAAAAGATATTTACCAGTATCATCTGGATAACAATGGAATACTTTGCGGTAAACTTCAGTATTTTGAGAAGCAGTATGTAACCAATATTTATTATAAAATTCATCTGAAACAGGATCTTCAACAATTTTATCTGCTACACTAAGGTTATAGGGGTCAACAGGGTAATCTGCTTCAATAGGTGGTGGATGAGAGTGATTATTGACTTCATCATGACTTTCGTGAACTTCTAAACCAAGATGTTGCTTGAAAAGATGACGACGAAGTGTGGCTGCAAATTTTCCAGCTTGCCACTATAAATCAATTGACCAATATTTTATAATTTGAGACTTAATTGCTTTATAAGAATATTAAATTTGACAAAATTGCTATTACATACCTTTTCTCCAGCCATACGAGATTCTATATAATTTTTATCTTCAACAATAGCTGCAATTTCAGAGTCATGATCACCATTTTGTGATCTATCGTTCAAATTGGCTTTATAATAATGAAGATCATACAAAAAAAAATCAATTTAGCACTAACAATATTATTGATTGAATATTAAGGAAAAATAACATCTGAAAAAACAAACCTGAACCCATAATAACAATTCTATCATCAGCGATCAAAAGTTTTGTGTGAATATATAACTCTTCAGTAACAAAAGTACAATCATCTTCATTAATACGTGTATGGCCTAAGGATTGAGATGTTGAATATTTGTACTGTTTCAAAGCAGGGTCAACATTTGGATTGTCATAAGCTTTCTCAATAGAAGGTGCATTAATTTCTTCAGGGAGAACACCCATTCCAAGTTTGACAGCTTGGTGACAGATTTTATCATAATTTCGAAGTGAATAGAAACCAATATAGTCAAAAGGATCAGTACAACCAGCATTTTTGATTGATTCGATGATAGAATGCCCTCCACGGCAAATAGACATATACTGGTAATGCATTACAAGACTTAAATATAGTAAAATAAAATTAGTTAATGAAAAATATAAGGAATTGATTTTAATTAAATGATGATATATAAATAATGCACTTACCGAGGTGTACCAGCATCATCAGAATCAATTTCAGCTGGGAAACCAGGAATTAATGGCATTATAACAATAACTCGGAATTTTTCTTTATTTTTATGAGCTTTTAAAATTCTTTCTACAATAGCCTATAAAATTAGGAATATGGATTTTAATAAAATAATATATATAATTTAATATACCAGTATTTCAATAAATATTTTACCTTTCCAATAAGATTCTTGACAGGGAAATCTTTAGATTCCTTTGTCGCAGTTACTATGAGAAAAAAATGAGAGTAGAATTATGATATATTTATGGAAATAATTTTGATGTGACTTCAAGAAATACATAATAAGCTTACTGAAAAATTGATTTTCGATATAAATAAAATGCTTAGCGTTTTGAATAGTGTCAATGTAAGCATTTTGAATAGAATGCTAGAAAAAGAAAATATTTTACAGATATGAGAATATATTAACATGATAAAAACTGTAACAAAATATTATAATGAATTACCTCAGTTTCAGTAAGACCAAGACTCCAAGCGGCACTGCTTCTCAAAACTTGAACACTACAAGTACCTTGGTCTGGATGTAATTCTACGGTTTTTCCACAAGAGTGGTATTTTCTTACTAGTGTGGAATTCTTTTTCATGCATTCACGATCGTACTGGGTTTCAGACTTTGCAATCAAGACAGGATATATGGGTTTGTTTTCATTCCTTTTCTTTTTAATAAAATTCCAACGTTGAATAAAATGCTGAGCAACATCCAGTGCTGGTTTACCAACCTACCATAAAAATATTATTAAGAGCATAATCACTAAGAAGTTTAGAACAAGATGATTGTTTAAAATATGAAAAAAAAAAAAAAAATACTAACGAAACCCATCGAAATATCTTGCCATGGCATACGTGCAACATAATTTTTATCGATTAATTTTGAAGACCACTTATCAACTAAAAGATAATTATGAATTAACATGAAAAATTCATCGAGATTGATACATTAAAACAAAATAAGCATTTTACCTTCAATAAAATCAGCAATTCTTGGATTAGAATAGTCTTGACCAGGCCAGATTGATACGTATTTTGATATGGGAGAAAAATCAGCAAGTTGATGTTTTCCGGTATCGTAACGACCAAAACACAAGTCCAATCCACCAATGAAGGCAATATGACGATCAACAACAACCATTTTCTAAAAAGAGATTAGAACTTTAAGAATTAAAGAAAATATGTAACATAATTAATAAATAAAAAAAAGTTACCTCATGATGCTAAAGAATTATAGAATTTTAAGTTATTTTAAATGATAAATGGGAATTCAATTCTAATTCTAAAAATAAATAAAATTAAGACATTTACCGCCCAAAAGAAAGTACCATCAATTCCATGATAAGGATGTCTTTGCACTATAGATATAATATTAGTACCTTGGGTAAGACATGTAAATATCTGAGATTATTTCTTACCAAGAATATTTTCATAATTTTCTTCCATCTCGTTTATTAATGTTTTTTTACTATGTTTAGAGTTTAAAGTCAAGGCTTGTTCCACTTCTTTGTAAAGAACAACATAAATTTTTACGCCCTCCTTTGCCTTTCTTTTAAGGAGCCTATCGAGCCGATATTGTTCATTCTTGCAAGGAGGTCTACGGAGATACTAAATCAAATTCAAAAAGTTAAAGATATATCTCAAAGACTGAAACTCGAGTAATAACGAGGTATAAACTTTGGAAATGTATCAATTGCATTACTTTAATCACAAGATATTAAAAATTAAGTATCAAACTAACCAATTCAGGGGAAAGCCACCAATCTTCGATGAAAATTTCCTCTTTCGCATTTGCAAGGGCTTCCGAAACGGCATAAAAGTAATCCTTGCCATTGACATACCATTTTGCAAAAGCACCTTCTCTAACTTTTGCGAATGAGCCATGTCGAAAGATACATGGCATATCTGCAGGTGATGCACCACTTTCACCATGGATAAGCCCTTTGATAAATTCTGCCGCCATGATCAATTAAAGGGAAAAAAATGGTAAAATTGACAAATAATACAAGATGTAAGAGAGAAAGAAAACTCTACGAGAAATTCCCACATTTAATCAATCTATTTATTTGTTATCGACGATCTAAACAGAAACTTCCAAATCAATTCTTTTGTGTTCATGAGAAATATCCATCAATAACGGCGTTACCGAAAACGATCAAATCCATGTGACAATTAGCATCACACTGGCTTTTTGTCGAAACCATGTTAGCATTTATTCTTGTCGACATTTACTATCCATCAATGATTTTCATGATTTTCGATCTAAATACCTAAAAAGGTTGAATTAATGTGTCGAACGGTGTATTTCATATATCGATTTGAATTAATTAAAATTCTCAATGGTCTCAAATATAGAATTCTTTATTATTATGCTTTATTTTTAATCGGCTACGTATCATAATTGACTAGAAGACAACATAAAAAATTTTCTAATTAATAAAAAAAAAAAAATAACTAATTTATTCGGTGAAATTTTCTATTTTATCGTACGTAACATTTTGATACCGATACGGACACTATATCTAATATATTCTGATATAACAGAAGTTCATTTTTATTGGCTAATTGGCAAGAATTTGCATATTGTCGCTATTGTTACACCTGATGCAACTTTCGAAGCAAAGAACTATAACGATAAGCTTAAAAAATTAGAAATTTAATGTAATAACCTTGTATTAGGCCACACAAATTTAATTTCTTGGTTTTCATAACATAAAATTTTAAAAGTGACCCGGCAACCCGGAGATTTTTATAATAAATTACATATGAAATTTTTTTTCAAAGGTCTACAAAAACTGACCCGGCCGGGTTATGAAAACCAAGGTATTAATTTTGTATGGCCTTATATAAATAAAATTTATAAATTTCAAAAAATTTTATATAGTACTAGAAGTCTATACTCAATAGTTATACAAAGTATTTTTTTTTTTTTTTTTTTTGTTATTAAAGCTACTTCCTTAGCTGATTAGATTTTTATTAGTTTGTTATTGTAGAACTATCACATGAACAGTTTCCTAAGGTTTTACAGTTACATAATGAGTGTACAATAAGCTACACATACAACTTTAATCATTGTCTAATTTAAGTAGTTCACTATACAGGCGATCGACTATCTGTTGGTTCTACACTATGCTGCCATACCTGCAACCCACCTGTGAGTTACCTATTTAAATATTCTAATCATTAACCCTTCTCCCCATCCCAAACTAATATCACCACTATGACTAACTACTTACACTAGCTAGTTCATCTACAGATCTATTTCTCTATATAGCTTAGGTCCTCTTGGGATATGTATACCTAACATATTGTGAGCCATAGAGCTCCAGTTAACCTCAGAAGTAATTCTTATCAGAGTAATCATATGCTCATTTTACAGATTCACCTGAATTAGATCCTTGTTGATATTCATACAAATCTAGTTCCTGCTATGGCTATCTATCAGATATAGTCCTCCAAGTTCCAGCTAGATGTTTCATGAGGTAGATCCTCCCAATCTAGTTAGCTGCCAAGCCAAGTTAGTGTTGTCGCTAATGCAAGGCACTAGATTGCATTACACAGCAGACTTACTTTTACCTATTAATCTCACATCCTTTGTACTCAGGTTTTTCACTAGATCAGGTGTTAACTAGTTTGACTATTGAAATCTGTACTACTTCACTAAACTTGGGATTTCTATCATGCAGGTCTCCTGCCTGTAGATTCTATTAAGATTTATTCACATAATATAATTCGAATATTGTATTACACTTCTAATATCTAATTGATATTAGTGCAATATGATTTACAGAGTTGTAACCTCCAGAAACGAGCAGAGTTTACTCTAAGTTGGGTACAAAGATCTAGGTAATTATTTAAATTTGTTGATAGTAGGATTTGAACCCTAGACCTCTTGCATAGAGGTCTGTTAACCTAACTACTACACTAAGATTACTAGACCTTC